CCCGGCGGTACTGGCAGTCCCGGCGCTGCGTTTGCCGCCTCTCGCGGTGCTGCCGCTTGCAGCAATTGCAATTGCTTGGCTCACATGAACCAGAACTGTCATGCAGTGGCTTTTCGCTGTCAGTTGTATCTTTAAAACCGAGTTTCTGTATCTAAGAGCCACAGAAAGACAAAGCCTCCGATCACCTCCTCTCCTAAGCACAGTGCCAAGAGTTACAAACGTGGCAGTACAAACGCGCTTGTTCTGCCCCTCCAGTATCAGTGTGAGAAGCGTTTCTTGGACTGCTTCTCAAAATGACAGTTTGAGTGACAGTTGGAGGAGGATATGCACGATAAAGTGATGAGTGATCTCTTAAATATCTTACTGAAACACTGCAGAATCTTTCAAGGCAAAGCGATGCTTCCGTAAGTAAAATTAGACGCGAACCGAAAAGCAGCGGAGGAACGCGGCGCTGGCCTGTCTCCATCGGAGGCTTCTGGACATCGTTGGGTGCCTCAGAGTCGTTGGGCTTGGCCAAAGCCCACTCCTGCCCGGCTGCGCAATGAGCCGCAGAGCCGGGCCGGCAGGCTGCAACAGCTCCGGTGGGTTTTTTATGCGTGCCTAACTGGAATAAACATAGATAACCCCCAACCAAACAAACAACAAAACCTTCTTTGAACCATCAAGAAGCTTGTGAGACTGCTTTTAAACCATAAAAAAAAAAGATGGTAGTTTCAAATTAGGAAAAAAAAACGTCTCTGGCACATCTGCAAGGCTAGATAGAATAAGTGTCTAAACATAGAAGTAAGTTACAGACGCTCATAATATTATTTAAATTCTTCAGTATTTTTGTTACTGGAGTGTTTCATTGCTCTTTCTCAAAATCCCATTCTTGAAGAGTGAGTCAGCAACAAGTCTATGAATGTGTCAGGGAGCAGTATTTTAAATAAGATTTCATGCCTAAACCGTTATTAAGAGCATGTTTACATACGAAAAATTGCAACTCTGAATATGAACATGGGCTCTAATGGCCCAATTTCTTGACTTTAGTGAGAGTTTTTTTGTTTTTTTTTCTAACTGCAGCTTTCAGGGTAACATTCCTGACATGCTATTGGAAGGATTTTGCGTTAAAATCCGTAGCAATTTATTTCCTTTATTCCCTTTGCTCACTGGGAATTAGAACACTTTTTATTTTAATATTATCATGATTTCTTTTGCACAGCCTTACTGAATACAAACTGCTTTCTTGCTGGCACTAACACTTCTTACTGTCTTTCTTTTCCAGAAGAATTCTTGCAAAATACTAAAAACAATCTAGGCACATTTACTTGTGGTCCTAGCCAAGTGGAACAAACGGAATGAAATCTTTATGGGAAAATTATATGCCTGTGTAATTATAATTATAACATTTATGAGCGAGGGTTTGCTAAAGTAAAACATAAAAGCAAGACTGCAAGCTCATTCCATTTCTTATTTGGTCATTTAAAGCGTAACAGCATTGCTGGGAAATTCAGGTTTGAAAATTTTAGGTCTAAAATAGTTTGGGGTCTTAACAAATGGAAAGGAAATGGGTATAAAGCATGGGTAAAGGCATCACTAGTATTCACTCTTTTCCAGAACATTTTTTTAAAAAGTGTATAGTAGTCATAAAACCAATTCATTGTTTTAATTTAATATAATGACTGTACAAATAAAAGAACTGAGTGACTGTCAGAGGACTTGAGAAAACAAGTTTTTAAGTGACATCATAATTTTAATACAAAATAAATATACCAATTTCAGGGATAGCATTTAAATCATTATGTCCCCAATAGCCCCCCAAAAGGAATTATAAAATTATATAGCAGATGACTGAAATTTTCTGTTTAGAAGATAAACTCAGTTCTCTTATGATAACAATTACATTGTAAGAATTAGTCTACTTTAAGCTCAAGTTGCTAGAGTGAATCAATGGGAATAAATAACAACTACATGTTCATTAAAAAGAGTTGCATCGATCAATTTCAGGTAATTCCAAATTGAGTGG